TGAGTTGCTTGGCTTGTAGTATCCACCATGTTGCATCTCAAAGGGAGTGCCAACTTGTGTATAACCAGATATGATATCAGTACTGCCATTCCTTCATGTTAGCTTAAACATGGTTATGAAAGTCGTCCAATAACTCTAACGTACGTTCTAGAAAGTAAACCATATGTAGCCATAAACAAAGGTGACAATCCAACAGACTGAAGAATAATCGACCATTTCGCATCACTGGTATTAACAGGAACATGTGTACTTCGAAGCTCAAATATTGCGCCCGCAATCCGAACAACGGAAAACAATCCGAGGTATACCCAGCCAAGCTTTTTCTTGAACCCCTGAGAGAAGATCACAAAGATAGCGATTGGTAAGGCGACAGCATATGCAATGATTTCTGCGTATGCAATACCTTTCTCGGTTGATACCATGATGGTTGAACTTTGGGTAATTGCAAAGGGAGTGAGTTGGTAGAAAGAAGATAGAAACAAAAGTGCGTGAAGAAAATGAGCGAATCTAAGAAGTAAATGTGCGACAGACTTCCCTTATATCACACTCGGGGGTTTCTCTGTGACAAACTTTCCGGATCATCGCCCAAGAATAACGGCAACCAGATGTTCATCTTATTCAAGAAGAGCCACACAGTGGGCACGCATCCATTGGCATTCTAGATGCTAATGAGTCGAAGAATGGAGGAGCTGTCAAAATTGGAAAGTGATGAGTAGCATCTCCAGAATTGAAAGGGGGCCTTTGGAGAAGCCATCGTCATCTCACTCCTTCGTTATCAAAATAGAGTGAGGGCAATCGCTAATATGAATATCCGTTCTGGAATCTGTCTCATTGGAGCAATGGAAAGAATAAGGCTCGCTGGTCCTTATGCAGGCTCGGCTGAAGGAAAGTGCTGTAGACATAGATATCAGTACATCAAATAATATAGACGCGGGGATGATTCGGGAGTTTCCGTCGAAAGTTGAGTGCTGGTGGTGTCACATAGAGGCTGAGTAATCATTGCGCTACGCTGAGAATACCCGAAAGAGACAAGCGTATGATGACAGAGCCTTATCCGTCTTACGAACAAGCAATCAAATGTTCCTAAAGAGAATCAAGCTTCATCTGCATTGCCCATCTCTCATACATATATGCCCAGGTACAGGACCTTTACAATGTGGCTTATTAGGAACTATGTGATCATGAATGCATGCTTCACACAAGCAATGCGACAGTGTATGTACGTACCTACAGGCAATAACTTCAATTCATTCGTTCTCATACTTTCGTGTAATCAGCATCTTTCCCAAGATCCTTACGAAACACGGGTTCGCAGACTACTCATCATCTACCCAATTGCTCTATAAGAGAGTGCCCTGATTCTCTAATAACCCCAAATACTACCATCTACCTCAATCAAGTCACAAAATGGTTTATTGTGGTAAGCCAAGTAAAGCTTGCGCAGAGTGCAGGCTTCGGAGAACCAAGGTGGGTAAGCAGTTTCCATAGGATTGATCTAGCCACTGATTCGTCTAGTGTGACACTTTAACGCCATCTTGCTCGCAATGCATTCGCGCTGGTCGCAATTGTACTGGGTACCGGACTGAAGCAGATATGATGTTCCGCGATCAAACGCAACATTACGCCAATAAACGAGGAACTGAAAATGATACTCGACTAGTGGTATCTAAAAAGAGAACTAAAGCATCGAATGACGCGTCGGAGTCTTCTTTAGATTCTCAATTGACGTGCCAATCCACGATGCAACTTGCGACGCAGATAAAAACATTGACACCAGGGCTTCCGACTTCTTCAGCTGAGCAGGCAACGTGTTATTTCTTTCGAAACTATGTTCTCGAAGATAACTCGACAAGTGGTAGCTTTCAGTATCTCCACGAAATATATGACAAAGAACTCATTGGTCCTGCTTTGACTGACAGCATTGAATGTCTTGGCATGGTCGGCTTAGCAAACTTCTGGAAAGTTGCTGAATTTCAAGTCCACGCAAACAAAAAGTATAATTCTGCTCTAAGGCTTGTCAGCTCGCGGCTGAGAAATGAAGACGAAGCACGAGCTGATCAAACCCTTGTGGCAGTAATACTTTTGGGGCTTTATGAAGTAAGTTGAATAAACAACTATGAAAGTTCACTTGGCTAACAATCTAATAGATAAACACATGCACCGGTCCCCAGTCCATGAAATCTTGGACCAAACATGTAATTGGTGCCTCATCGTTGATGCAGCTTAAGGGAAAGCAATGTCTTGAAACTCCAATAGGCCGGCACATATTTGCTCATCTTAGGACTCAAATAGTATGTTCATTGCCTGTTTCAACGTTTAAACCATGCTTAATGCTTTACTTAGATCACAAATTGTATACAACGCCATGTCTCTATTCCGTCTTTCATTCGGGATTGGTCAACGTATGCTCTGCAGTTTCAATCGCCAAATGACGCCCACGCCACAACCCTGTCGGAACAAGTGATGGAATTTGGCAATCTCCGTGCTACAATGTCTTCTTTCCATGATTACAGAAACGCGGAAAAAGTCATCAAAGCGGCCCTCGTGATCGATTCAAAGCTTGTAGAGTGGGCATTCACTTGCCCTCTGGAGTGCATGTTTTATAAAACACTCACCTTGAGGCAAAGGTCTGACGGCGTTTTTTCGGATCATTATCATATCTACGATAGTATCTGGGCCGCCGCACTCTGGAACCACTATCGATGTGTTCGGATTCTGATCAACGAGGTTGTCTATGTTCAGCTCACCCATCTTAGAAATATACAGCCCGAGTTATTCGATTTAGACCTGAGGAATCCTATCTTTTCTGATTCTCAATTGGAGATCTCGACCACAGCCGTCATTCAACTATCACATGATATTTGTGCTAGCGTTCCTTTTATGCTTGGATATACAGAAGGCGGAGAAGTGACATTAAACAGTGCGAAAGCCGTTAGCGGTAATCTTTTGTTGTGGCCTTTGTACACGGCAGCCTGTACACCTTTGGTATCCGACATGATGTGTCACTGGGTAGCAGGGAGATTAAGAGTTATATCCGACATCATGGGTATCAAACAAGCTGCTCCATTGTCACATATCCTAACGAAAAGAAAGGATCTCTTGGCTTGGGAGCTTGAAGATATCAAGAAAGGGGCTGGACCAAAATATGAGGATTGGACACATGGACAGTTAATGGAGCTTACATGAGCTGAGATTACTTTCTCAATTGGCCGCAACAAAGAATGGAGATTCAAGTTGCTGTTTTAGAGACCTGCTCATTTTTTCTAGTCACCTAAGTTCTTCCTAGGTACATTATATTTTGCAAAATGCCTGACTTTCCAAAGAAAATTGCCTGCGTATAGATGCATGACAGGAAACTCATTGGCGCTTGACCTGTATTGATCCGAGCCAACGGCACTCTTGGATGATGCAGACCTCCTTGCTAGACCTTAGCAACAACACTAAGCAATGATGACCCGATCTACGGCTTGGACATTGCCTTGAAATTCTTATCAACCCTCTCGGACAGTTCCAGCTTGGACACAGCATACCTTCTCGAATATTGAAGCATTTAAAAATGTCTTTACCACGAGCTGGCTCTAGATAATAGGCTACAAAGAAATCTTGCCTCTCCGGGCCGGGAATTTTGGTCTCGGTGTGCTATTTTGGCGCATAAATTTTCGGTGGCTCATCATGGGCTCATCGCTAGCTGCTGCTTAGAAGTTGCGCCTTGCTCGAAATCACGACATCGCTGTATCGACGAGAAAAAAAGGCATAATTGTACCCCCTCGGATCCCGCTCGTCTCAAGCCTCAATCTTATAGCTTCTACCAATAACCGAGTAACAAGCCGCATATTCTCTTCCCCTTCTTCATCACACGACTAGACACCGGGCCTCTAGTAGGAACATATATCATGACGACTCCATCACATCCAAGAGATCATGAGAGCACTGACCTCAAGCGCAAGAACCCATCTCCAACGTCAAAGCCAGCAGACGAGGCCTCAAATTCATAGCCTGCAAGGGCCGATGTAAAAGCTAATTCAGAAGCCCCAGTGGCTAAAGAGGCGCAAAGAAAAGCTCGTGAGAAGAAGATTGCAGAGTTGGAAGCTGAAGAAACCTCGCTAGAGGATTGAAACAAGCTAATAAGGAGCTTACTTAAGCGAAGGATAAATATGTTGTTATCGCAAATAATGAAGGCGAATTTTCGAGAAAGTATGTATGATGGATAGGTATAGAATTTCAGGATAAAGACTTGGAATCATGAATGAGAAAATGAGAAAACGAATAGTCTTATTCATGTCTCGAAGCAAGGCGTGCAGCTTCCTTATTGCTTGAAGCCATTCAAATAAATAACATTGGAAATGAAGTTGTGGTTCTCTACTCGGAAGGTATCCTACTACCGTACCGTGTTATAGAAAATTTACCGGACTATTCACCCCACTACAATGTATCCGATATTTCTGACTGCAGTGCACATCTGGAATTTTAGCAAGCTCCAGCGAGTTGTGAATGAACTTGAGGCACCGTGTGGATCCTCTGAAGAGGACATTTGAAAAAACTCTGTATCGCCATTGAACTCAATATCTGAAATCAAGTGTACTCAATATCTGAAATCAAGTGTCTTGATTCAACAGTGATCTATCAAATAGACCTGGGTATCTGCCATTTCCATCCCGATAGGATAAAACAGAGACTAAGATCAATGAGGCCAACACTCGCGTTTTCGCAAAGTAAACACCTGTCTCATGAATGCAGAATTGACTTTGAACTCCCCTGAATAGAAAAGTTATGTTGTTACTAAAACCGAGTCGCGAATCCTTGCGTTCGATCTTGAATGAAACATTCCATCCCATCATCCCACAATATTCCAATGGCTTTCATTCCACATCTGTGTTCATATACTTTGATAATATTCCGTCTCAGCAGTCAAACTCACCGTTTCATACTATCACACCAAAGACCAGTTTTCATTTTCCACAAGGAAAACCACATTTCCATATGTGAATATTCAAGCTCCCTCAAACAGATAGGACCTTATAAGAAGAATCAGTACATGAATTTCCGCCCTTCTCCATATTTTCCCTTCCCATCACCATCCTGACCATTTCTCCTATGAACGCAATAGAATTCGCCGCGCCGGTAATCACTTTAATCCCCATGATACCTCCCTGGTAAGTTTCGCATCCCTTGGCATACTCGCCCACGGCATAAAACTTCAGAAATAAGATCGAGAAGATAACCATTTCCAATGAAACCAGTAAGTTAGGAATTCCATCCGTTAAATCACGAGTGATAAGTATATTGGTGGGGGGAAGGCGCGGCGAGAGGAATGCAAAGAGAGTGGTCTGGAAAAAATTCAGGAACACGATTCTTTTGAAGACCATGAGTTTGTGGAGGGGTTTGCGAGCGGCTGTTAGGGACTTCGTGGATTTGTAGAAGCGGATATGTGCTAGGATGGCGATGGTGGTGCTACCTATGCAGAGGATTACACACTGAGTTTTGGTTAATTTCTTGTTTCGATGATGTAGGTTATTTTCTTTTAAAAGGTTTTAAAAGAACTGAAGAAGGGCTTGCCTAAATTCTGGTGAAGTAAATCTTAGTCTCCGTCTCACGGTATGTTCCCTTTGCCTCTGGGATCTTCCATGAGGAATACGATGCACATAATAGCCGGGAATTGGAAGATCTGGATAACAGTTTTGCAAATTGGGGGAAATTGTGATGCTTGTCTAGACAAAGATTGGGCATGGGTTTCCTTGAGTACGTAGTTATACAGGAGTTGAAAAAATGCGGCAAATGCAAAGGCCTCGTAAAGTTCATTGATGGGGGAAATATAAGCCGTGGCTTCTTCAAAATGTATGCAGAGAAACGAGATGGCTGCAACTACGGGAATCATGAACATTATGCGGATGATTCTGGTGGGTGTGTTAGGAAATTACAGACAATAGAACAGAGGGGTTTGATATATGCTTTTGTTCTCGGGGCATAGAATAATGTGTTGCATGGCGAAATATCAGAGATATTGATAGGAGAAGCGAGAAGGCTAGACATGCTCCTGATAAAATCCGAATGAATTGATGAAACTGAGGTTATTGATGAATAGCACTTAAGCTATAGGTTTCTCTTAGTCTGAAACCATAAAATTGCTGCTGACGATGGAATCTTACGAGGATCATTTATGTTTTCCACGGGACAAGTGTGATCCTCAGGAGAATCGGAACTCCTTTTGCTTGAGACCAGAAAATGGACACTCCGAGTTTGTATGGGAAGGAATTGCATGATGAACGCTAATAGATAGGAAAGAAAACTTATTCAAAAAATGGAATCTTCAAAGTGCTATACTACACCTTGAGAAACGAGAGGTAGAAACAAACAACAGCTAGAACGTTTGAGCTTGAAAGATTATGGGGAATATCCATATCCCATAATTCGAAAGGACATATTTATATACATATGAAGTTGTCGATCTCCTATCCTCTCCCTATAGTGCCGGAACGAAGATGATCTTTCATATTGAGAAGTAAGAAAGGTACAAAGTCTCAAGAAGGGGGCACAGCCATGTCAGCGACAAGCTATAACCTCAAATCTGTCCACAAATCTCAGATATACGATATGTTGCTTCAAAAGGTAGCCAGCACGACGGGGCCTCCATAAGGGTCAACACCGGACCTCCGCTTCCAAACATGAGAACCAAGAGGATATCAAGGTCGAAGCTTATGTATTAAGCACTATTTCCAAAAGAGAAAGCAGTGCGACGAATGATGATTGGTGAGATCATGCCATCTGTGGAGGTGGCTAGGGTCAAAGAATCGTTGCCCAGGTACTTTGCAAAATAAAATTTGCAGGACTCTCAGATTCACGATCTTGGTTTTCGCGCCTTTCTCGCTCGGATGAACATTAGACCTTTTGTGCGTGAGATTTGAGAATGTATACTGAGGCCTTTTTGAACGATATTACCAATACACTAAAAATAGAATTCTACTTAATGCAAAAAAAAAAAAATCTATAATTTATATAATACATCTATGGAAATCTTAAACAAAAAATTCATATACGATAATCAAAGCTTTTACCACTTACTTTTTATTAACTTTAATGATTTTATAGTATTTAAAGTATTTAAAGCTTTCTATAGGTTTTAAATAGACTCTAGATAAGATTTCGAATTAGAATATAATAAAAGATTAGTGATTTTGAATAAAATGTAAATAAAATGTGATTTTTACAATACTTTTATTATCTAGAGTTTATTGTATAAATTTTCAATCAGCGATGTGATTTGATTTGTTCAAAGGCCTAAAGTGGGGACACATTCAGGTGCGTTTTACATTACTTACCCCTTCAATCACCGTATACATAAGACAATGTAAAGTCTATAATATAGACAGTATGAATCCCAGCTTGGGTTACTTATAGACTATAAAATGATGTGGGAACAGCTTCAAATTAATTTTTCAATACATATAATTTGTAGACCATTCATGTCAATCTATTTGTGGGTATAACGTTATGGGTTATATGCAGATGATTTGCAGATTATCCGTAGGTTGATTGATCGGATCTTGGGATTACTGACTCACCCGCCAGATCATCTGCAGATTATTTGTCGGATTCATTATCCGGTCCATGGGTACCCGTTGTGCAATTCATCTACAAGTTAAGATGGATGTAACAGTAAAGGGGCAAATTTATCTGATTGGCTACGATATCAAGAAAAAAGAAAAATAGGATTCAAATTTCAAAGAGGAGAGCGTTATAGGGGAAACGAGGAGGTGTAGTGGATAGATAAAAAGTGGGGTATAATATGAGTTTTATGGCGTGCAGGACTACCTGTCATCTTGTCAAATAGATCTGTCCACTCTTGGTGGGAGCTGAAATGCATGGTCATTTTAAGAGTGCTATCTATGAACACCGCTTGAGGCGTATTTGACGGGATGTGACGTTGAAGAAAAAGGTAACAAATGAAACAAGGATTCAGTACATAGGCTAAGCGATTCTGATATCGCTGATGCTACACGAGAATGGGTATACTGTCGCTGGAACAACTCATTCAGAAACGTCTTTAGGTGAAAATTATGTTGATCGGAAATTCCACGCAGTGAGACAAACGCAATATTTGAATGAAAAAGTAGAGATATCCATGCGGCGTAAAATTCGGATTTGTCGACTTAATCAGACTAAAACCCATTTCATTCTTTCATGCATATTTGAATTTCCGTAACTGGGTAAGTTGTGTTGCGCTCGCTACAACTTTAGACAGCCAGTACTTTATACCAACGCTAACAGTTTAGTAGCATCAAGGTGTACACAAACTGTCACATCTAATCTGATCTCGATTTCACACCAATCGGTCTTCCTGGACGCACATGTATGTAGTACCGCATCTAGTTACAGGTGGCGGGACAAATGGATGTAACTTGAGATTACCCAGCCAATCCTCCACGTCAACAAATCTACAGTATAGGAATGTAGCAAAAAGTCACCGCGAGCCTTTCAATGGTTTATGGAAAAAATACCCAATCACAATTTGAGTTGTAAAACGATTCACAGCTTAACTCATGGCGGAGAGCAGTTGATTCTGATGATCTCCACATGATATCATGCGCTGCAAAGCTTTCCCCTCATTATTTTCCCCCGCGTATCTGCTTGAAGATAACACTGCACTTTCTCAGCTCGTCTCTTGACCAAGCCTAGTCGTCTTCCAAGTCCTCGTCTGGATAAAATGATTTTTGTTTTACACGTCTGCCTCAGTATCACACTGCATGACTCGAACGTGAGCACTTTTCTATCGATCGCTCCCTTTTTGGGGAGGGGGGGGGGGGGATCGACTTGGATGTGGTGTCTTTGTATGCTGCAAGCACCACATTTTCATCTGTACTAGATTTGATATTTGTCAAGACCGTTAGCTGACAACAATTGTGCGGTTTCTTAGTAAAAAGCTGTTCGTATAATTCGAAGCTCCTCAATAGCTTTCTATCTACACTCTCACGGTACTATATCAGGGAAACTGATTGAGCCCGTGTCTATGGTATAACTGCAAGTTGCAGTGATCCATGATACAAACTGCATCTCGAGATATCTTGAAGATTAACTTGCATGAACTTCTAGATGTCTTTGGGGTCGTCTCTTGGCTCTCGACATGGAAAGATGCTCGTAGTCTAGTCGGGAAAAAGAGGGAGATTGGGCCATGAAATTGGACATTTAATGCCCAAAATTTCACGGAAATAGTCTCTGCCTGTCTTGGTATGTAGAGAAAATGGCGGCTATCTTGATCAATCTTGCCTTCCAAAACCCTGTTAAACTAAGCCGAACTTTGCATGAGTGCAGAATTCTTATTCCTGGATGAGAGCCCGACTGATCGCCATGTAATATCGAATTAAGTATTGATTTTCTTGCAGTTAATGAGGCAGGTCGTACTTTTGGGTCATGCATGTGGTTGAGCACAACTTACAGAATGTCCTCGTGGTTGCATTTAGTAAAGATTTTTATTATAAATAAGTGTGAGAAGTCCCCCATTTCTCATTTTTATCTTGAACCAAAGCACACAGTCATCCTCTTCTCACCAAGTTAACAGCAACCTACTCAGAACATTTGAATTTTCTCAACCTTCAATCTTTAAACAAATCAAGATGACGAACGCAACCTGGGACTATGACGGTCTGAGAGTCACTATGACTTCTACATTCGACTGGCGTTGGAGTGACTCTGGTAGTGGTGGGAAAAGAAGCGCTACCTTCTTTCACCCACGTGCTCAAGGAAACTTGTGCGCACTAGGAAGTTACGGTAATCCCGCCTACGGAGAGATCACAGGGAAAAAGTCTGTGCTCCTGGTTGGGCCAAGTCCTAACGCACCTGCCGGAGTTGCCCCTGCCGTTGCAAGACCAACGAGCTACACAAACATGTGGAGCGACAGTGGCTCTGGCGGAGCCAATGATGGTACCATGTGGCGACCCATAGCTCCATCTGGATATGTCGCAATGGGAGATGTCATGGCTACAGGGTACGGAAAACAGCCTAGCGTAAACGACGTCTGGTGCTTGCGCTCAGATCTCACCCGCCTATCCACCTATGAGGCAAGCGACTTTTGGAACGATGGATCATCTGGAGCTGACCGCAACTGCTCGACCTGGAAGATTGTTACAGAGTCCAATGGTATTGATGGTTCCGAATATCTTCCCATACCTCCTTACACCTTCCGCGTCTCGCAGGGTTATGGCAGGGCAGATACGAGCTATGCTGTCGTGCCGCTTTTGAAAGTTCCTAATGCGTTCAAAAGGTTCGAATTTGCTTTACCGACTGTCACGAGAACAACAATCCCTAGCACTGGCGACCAATTTGGCCAACAAGAACAGTGCTCTGTGGTGTTGCCTTTCATATTTTATCTCCCAAACGACAGCGCATGGAATCTTGCTAGGATATCCAAACCTTTCTATACTGTCAGTCGATCAGTTGCTTGGAATGTTGAGGGGGTATGGAACAATGACAGCGCAGGTGACTTTAATCGTTCGAAGACCATCAAGTGGGGGATAAGTAAGACTCAAAGCGAAGAGATGGTGCACTCAGCTGGTGTATCTATCTCGGCTTCATATGGTATCAAAGGTTTCGAAAGTAGTGTTACACTCAATTACCAGTTCACTCAAACCAATTCAAAATCCTTCACTGAATACGAAGAAGGAGAGACCACCGAGTCATTCGTTGTTCCCGGAAAAACAGTGAAAGTCTTGTTCAGCAAGCATATTTGGCTGAAGGCTAAAGCTGGTGATGGTACAATTGCTAGTCAGGTGGAGATGGTTGCTAATAACGATATTCATTTTGGTGGTTGCGATCTAAGCTAAATCGTCGATATCGAGATGGCAGCAACGGGATATCACATGGTAGTAAGACCTTGTTGAGTCGGAACTCCTTGTCTCAGTCGGATAAAAGTCACGTAACGAATACCAGGTGACGAATCATTGACATTTCAAAAATCGGATCATTGAGACGAACAATTACTCAACCGGTCCAGAAAGCATGGAGGTTTATGCTGTAAATTGGACTTCCTAAGTGTGTAGAGCTTCGTGCTCAAGAACAATCATTACCTTCATAGTATAGCTAAAAAAAATTGCAGCAATCATTGCCTTCATGTCCTCTGATACTTGAGACTAATGCTTGTGCTCATCCCCAAGCTACGAACAAAATCCATATCCCGTACAGTTTTGCGATACATCACCAGAATATTATTTGTTCTGACTCAAAGTCCTGGACGCAATGTCGTTCCTGTACAGCTAGCAAACGTCCGTGTTGTAGTAGAGTTCGTAGTGCTAGTATCTCCTCTTTGGAAACCTAGAGTACACAGAGAAAAATAGTGGGGATGAAGATACCGACTGACAACGCGCCGAGGTAGAAAAGGACGCGTGCTATAGAGATCGAGTTCGTAGGCCATTACCAAGTCGTAAAAATATGAGTATTGTGTGAGTTGATGGTGTGAGACGGAACTTCGATTACATTTTGAACATATCCAGCTGCTTATAGGATTCGGGATATTATGACATAAATTCTCGAACTTTGAAAAGTCCTCATGGGTCTTGGGCTATCAGAATTTCCGATCATATGCTATCGAATAAAGCCTGTAGCTATGGTAGAATATTCAAAATGACGCGACATGAAAAGAGACGAAGATGCCACAGGACTGATATACAGAGCAATGATGAAGGTCGACCAATAGAGTTTTGATACCTGAAGAATTCACAAACAGTCGGTGCAAGAGAACCTTGGCAAATTCCTTCTCGTCAATCACTATTGGATGAACACTGTACCAACATCCTCCGGAAGCGGAAAACTCTACCACAAAGAACCTTCCCTTAGACTTGTATCAATCCCAATTGTCGTACTTGCTATGCCTGCTCCTATTCATGTACTACTTTCTCTTGAGGGCTCACTCAAACAAAAAGCAAAAAGTAAACTGCAAGCAACGACAAAGACGTAAACCAGTGGCATCAAAGCATTTGAGGGGCAGTCAGACGTGGCTGAGAGATATTGCACAGAAGTTCTGACGTTTAAGCTATCCATGGTGATTGGACACCGGCGTTGGTAAAAGCTGTGCTGTGTACTTTCGTTTGTCGCCTGGAGAGAAAGCGTATTTCTATGGCGAACTGGTAAAGTAATGTGGGAGAAGTCAGACGTGTTATCGCTGGCTGCAGCAATAATAGTCATCGTGACCCTGGACATCTTTGCTATGAGCAATTTCTGGTTGCACAAAAAAGGAGTGAATGAGCATTCCAAGATTGCTCGCATGATTGAATTGTCAACATTGTGATTATATGAATTATATGTGCCCGTCAACATTTTAAACATCCGGGTGCCCAGAGTTTGAGTGACTACATCTTCGTTGAATTCTTCTATCAAATTTCCGGGGAACTATTTTCCCAGTAGTTGGTTCGGTCAATACTTACCACGTGCGATTAGAAAACGCAAGTGTTCCTTAATTATCGCAGGTTCTGCTCTAGCACCAATATTTATACACTAATGAAAGATAAAGCGATTCTCACATTATAGTCTCCGCTTCTCCGATGATCATGGTGTTCAGGTTTCAGAATTAAAAACTTCAAGGATCGTTGCAACAGGTAGTTAAAAAAAGCACAACGATTATAATCGCAACATATGATTCGCAATATTAGAGGGCGAAACCTCGAGCATATACATTGTGCAGGGATGCAAAGGTTTTGTTTTTGAAACTGTTATGGGAAGATAAAATGATAAACAGTAACTTGAATCGTGAAATGACAAGATCTTTTCTACATAGAATAGGAAATGCCTGACGCCGAAACATAGATTTCCATTTTCCGCGAGAAGTTTCAGTTCTGGGGTACTTTCCCAAGTAAACTGAATGTCTCCCACCTCATTCCCTCGCCATCTTCGACCCCCTCCGCATCCCATCTAGCCCAACCGCCATCTTGATATTGTGGTTCAGCAACTTTACTCCAACCACGTATAAGAGCTCTCCAATAACAAGCCTCAGAAGCTGGGGACAAGTATCTTGTGAACAGTTCCCGCTGTCTTTCAGCAATACCAGCAGCTATTTCAGGATGGTTCCGCAAGTACATGATTGTTTCCTCAAGGTCTGACCAGTCGGGTTCAACAAATATGATGTTCGCTTCACTCAGTGCGTAGGTGGTGGGCCAACGACTTGTCCAATCATATTCAAATTTGGAAGATATTTCACGTGCCGGGAGGAATGTTTTTGAAAATATGGGACGCATAAAGTGTGTTTGGTGAAGTAAATAGGTGGGTGGTGGTGTGAGGATAACGGAAGCGCACGCCTGATGGAAGATTAGACGCCCGGAGTAGGTTATGCCCTCCGTGTAAACAATATACTTGTACTTGCAAAAATCCTCTATCCCGATGGCATTTTCGGCACTGTCACCGTTTGTGGTCCAATTGAGAGCTTCTATATCCGCCCACTCTTTATTTTTACTCTTGAGAATCAAGCTTGGCCGTGAGTCCTTGTTACCAACGGTATTGAAGCGTCCCGTTCCTCTCCATACCGCTTTGTCAATTTTCTCGGTCCAATGTTTATCCATCTCTATACGATCAATCTTGGACAACGCTTGATCGACGGTCCCAATAAATGAAACCGGCCACGACCAAAAACTAAAGTGCGGCATAACCCAGTAGTTTCCGTGTTTAATTTTAGGGTCGTTCGATCTTGAGAATGCCCATGAGTTATTCATTGGAGTATCGAGTATATTGAACGCGAAAATAGTGTTCGGAAGAGGCGAAGGAGAAGTAGTAACAGCACGGTGAATTTGGTGCAAGACTGAAGTTCGCTCCTGTAACATAGAGATCAGAATCCTGTGGCAATTACCTGGAAGAAGTGGTGACAAACCTGGAGCATATTCCGGGAAGGGTTCGGGTCCGCAGAAATGATGAATACCTGGATTTACCAGTCAACATAGTTTGTAAGATAGGTGATTTGATGGCCAAAAAGAACCTTCCCATCCTTTATCCTTCCTTGCACAAGCCCGGTACGATGATCCGGCTGTCTCTCCAGAGGAAATGGCCCTCGAGCCACTGCATCATCAATCTCTTTCGTCAAGCCTGGAAAAGCTGCGTGGCATTGGTCCTCTGTCAGTGAACGTGAGTGGAGGATGTCTGCAGAAGGCTTCTGCTCATTGACCGAGACCTGAAGGATTGATGATCGTAAATTCGTAGACTGCTTATCATATAGGTAAATGCAAACAAGAACAATTAAGAGAAATATCCCAATGTGACTGGGGCTTCTGAGACGGTACGCCATTGCCTCATGATAGGCGAACAAAGACTCAATAGCGCGCGAAAGTAATTCACCAAAATCTCAATTCTCATAGACGTTTCGTTTCACATTGGATAACAAGGTTGGCACGGTAAACAGGAACTCGCGCCGATAAGCCTATTTAATGGTAAAATGCGAGGGATCAAAGCGCGTGGTGTTGTGGATATCTTCTGCCAAGTGACTTACTGAATACTCAGGACTTACCGTAATATACCATACACATTGTTAGTACTGGAAACTGATGATTTCTGGACAAGCTCCGATAAAAGACAAGACGATGTCGACAGGATTCATAGCCTCACGAGTCTCACAGAGATCATGATGCGTTTGATGAGACTTGTAGCTACAGAGTACGGTACCCGAATACCATCAAGTATAATATATCACGTGACTGATCGCAGCATCCCCGAAAAGACAATTTCGAATAATTATGTATATAACGATTAGAAAATCGACTAACGCCTTGAAACTTCAATCTCCCTGACTTCATTTTCGCATACGTCTTCATCAGTGCAGTCGAGTTGGCCACCCAAGAGATGAATCTAACATTCAACATTGGTTCTAAGAATGTGTTGTAGTTGCTCTCATATATACTTCGATAGAAGGACTTGTTCAGGTCAGATTGATTTTGGCTTAGGGAACAATGTCCTAGACATCCCACATGAAAGAGTACTTGAAGACGTCTCTGGATCCGAAGTTCTCTTGCTTTGTCATGCATTGACTTTATGTAAAGAACCCCTTCCCCCTGATCTACCCGTGATTCCCTCGTAGCTCATTCTTCGGATCCTGTTGCATATCTTTATTCTCGAGACTGTCCCACGGATTTACGACAAATCTTACTCATGTCCTGTACATTCTATCCTATTAACTTAAGATATCGTGATTTCACTGAAGATCTCCCAAGATATTTTGCTCACTTTCTTTTCATTTCCATTTCCTTGAAAATAAAGTCTTTAATTTCACCAAATTGAGTGTTCTTTATTTCATCACATAATCTCCCAAATTATACACAACGAGAGGTGGAATCATTAGGTGATGAAATGCCTCATGTATCATAGACATGCTAATATTAACAAAAGGAAGAAGAGAAGGTGAGCTAAAGAAACAAGTTTTTGTGTGAAAAACGCCCAATACTATGCATGTTCGACCTTGTGAAACATCCCTTGAATATTCTTACATTTTACAATGCTCTTTCTCTCCTACGGCAGTCGAGATTTCAAAACTAAACTCCTCTATCTCCTTGGTCTTTTGTCATGACCACCTTCTCTCATGCTATCTTGATCGCTTCTTCTCTTCCTGCCACTACCCCCATCTTCCCGCACACCTCGTCCATCACGTTCACTTCGATCAGATCTGTCCGATCGTGGGTTCCGTCGGTCTCCTCCCCTATCCACTCCTCTATTATCAGGGGGATTTGACCAATTACCACCACCAATATTGCCATCATGTGGATTATGTTGAGAATCACGATCTCCGCCATGCGCATCTCGACGACTACTGTCTCTTTCGCGATGCTCTCTTTCTCCTCTTCCACCGCCAGCTAAC